CATCCACCGTGATGCTAAGTCCTTCGAATACCGTGAAGACATGATTCGTCGTGCGATCAATGGCGGTCATGAGATCGATAGAATCAAACAGCACGCAGGGAAGGGACGTAACAGACAGTACCAGGTTCACTTTATGTATCACCCATTGGATGATCTCTACTGGATCTCCAAGAAGGAACTGCTGTGCAGCGCACCTCGCATTGTTAAAGCCTACGAGCGACAAATCGCCTCTAATGCTGTACCCAAAATCTCTGCAAAGCTCGCTGCGACAAAATACTCTCGAAATCTCTTTGCTTTGTTTGCTTACGATGCGTTTGTCGGGGACTCAGAATGACTTACTCGCTCGAAGGGACCTCGCTCTCAAGGGGGGGGTAGTGTGATGACCCGACCAAACACAGACTGAGACAAAACTGATTTCTGAGTTTTGCTCATGGACTGAATGCCTTGCTGAGTTTTCTGCTTGCTACTAAGGTCTCTAAGTCTGTGTGTGTGCACGCTTGCTGGTCTGCATGTCTGTCTGAGTGCTTGTTGGCTTGAGTGTGTGTGTGACCCGCAAGGGCACTCGTTCGTTCGTTGGGCCCTCAGGGCCAGTACTTACCTGTGGCCTTGACATTGAGGACTGCATTGGGGAAAACACTCAAGTGGCAGGGAAGAGACCCACAACACTTGAAGCAGCGGGGAAACACTAGAAAGTAGCAGGTAGGCCGGTACCACACCCTGAAGAGGTAGATGTGCCGGGTACTCGAGGCCGASCAGAAGAAGACAAAAGTTGGGCATTTTTAGAGGCCCGGTAGTTGTAGGCTAGGTCTAGGCGGATACCAGTCCAACCAGTCTGAGTCTAGGGCCTGTACGGGCAATATCAGAGTCTGCAATGATGGTTTCCTTCGAAAAGGAGGAGGTACCGATTGCTTGGAAGGCCGAGCGGCCTGGAAGTCACCGCCCAAGAGGCAAGCAGGCTGCTATATCTCCAGGCCGGGCGAAGAGCCCAGCCTCATTGACGGTGTGCAAGTTTGGCGACACACTGGTTGGAGCGCTGGCTCGAGCAGAGCTAGCTTGGAGCAGCGCTGCTGGGGAAGCAGCAAGGACACGGAGGAAGAAGACCAGGAGGAAGGGGGAGCACCAGAGGTACTTACCTGGCTATGGTGGGAGCCATCTCCATCACCTTGGTGGGCGCTGCAGCAGGAAGGTCCCCGTTGGGGCAGAGCTACACTAAGAAGCTTCGAGGCAGAGTCAGGCATGGCGGCCTGAGCTAGAGCAGCCATAGCTGCTTTGGGTTGTCCTTTGGACATCAGGGCAAGGCCTAGTAGTCTGCCACAGCCTCGCCCTATGAGAGTGAAGAGTGAGAGAGGCAGCCATGGCTACGGTGGACCTCAAGTGATACCTGCAGTAGAAGAGGGATTCAAACATTGATTCTGGTTCAGCCATTCAACATTGTATTATTATTTCTCATTGAATAAGATCAGAGGAGATGAGGAGGAGGAGAGTGTCTGACGAAGAAGAAGAGCATTATCATTTGTCTATGCTGGTGTACATCATCTTCTTCTCCTCTCTTTCTTCTTCTTCTTCTTCTTACCCTCTCTCTCCTCTCAAGTTCATTCATTTCCTTTTGCAATTGGACGGCATTGTACTATCTGATGAATGTGTACTTCGAAATTGGCCAGGATCATAACACATTGCATTTTCCAAACCGACACATACACATAATCCAGTTGAGCCTGCAGCTTACAGAGTTCCGTCAACAAAATACTCTTCCCCTAGTCCAGCAAAGGTGGGTGCAAAGTGTTCCAGATTCAGAGCATCGTTAATCACTTTAAATTGAATCCTCCTTGAGGTCGGGGTGGATTCAGGTTAGGTGCTGACAATGTTGTGCCTCCCACACAGGTCTACTTCACTGCCGCGAAAAGCAGCATGGGTGACTAAGGAAGCAGCAGGCAATGCATGGTGCGACAGGCAAGGATGCAAGGGCGGGCTTCTAGCACTGGGAGTCTCCGTACTGCAAGACATAGTTCAGGCAAGATTGACAGGCAAGGTTACAAGGGCGGGCTCTCAACACTGGGAGTGTACGTAGTGTGGGACGCGACCACACAGATTGAGGGAGCACTTCGCCAAGCAGTCCAGTCCAGACCTTCCCATGGAGGACAGGGCAAGAGGAGATCAGAGGGAGTCTGATAGGGGAGCTTCTTGCTGGGTTGCTCGAGAAGGGTGGGAATGCGGCAATGTGCAGTTCATGGGTGGTCAAACCACCAGCACGTTTCCCCGCTATGGAAACAAACATCCAGCTTGTATGCCGGAGCAACTTTCAGGGCTCCGCCTCCGGAGCAAAATGGCTGGCGGCGCCAGCCAAAAGGAGGGCTTCTTCGGTTCGCTTTTTTTTTTGGTGCGCAGTGTGTTTCCAGCCTCGAAGAGGATGGGGCTGCGTCAGAAGAGACAGCGATGCAGACACAACAGCTGCACACTTCATCGGCGGGCTCAGGCCAGTTGTTGGTCCGCAACGTGAAGCTCAAGAAGGTCGCATCAAGAACCATGACACCATTTCCACCTGCAACGTAAAGACTAGCCTGCTGCTTGACAAGTGGATGACCTGTATGTATCAGCCCCTCAATATGGTGGACAACGAGTTCTTTCTAGAGCTCGTCAACAGGATCAGAAAACTACATCCCTCTTGGTGCAAGAGGGATGGGGCCACAATGACAAGGCTCGGCGACAAAACAACAGGACAAGCAAGGACATAAGGAGTGCGGCAAAGAAGTGGGAGAGAACCAGCTGCATAACGGGTGGTTTCACCAGTGGTATAGACCACACGTCAACATCATGGTTTCATCCCCAGTCGGGACTGTTTTTGGGAAGTCCTTTTCCGTGGAAGGTAAGGAGAAGGATGCCTCCACAGACTTCCTTAGAGAGCGTTCAAGAAGATTAGGCCAAAGAGTGTGGGTGGGCAGGGTTGCATCCCTGCTGGCCCCCAACCCCCGACCCCGACCACCGACCGTATCGCAGCCGACCAGTAAGGCCGACTGGTTGGCGGTCTGCCGACCAGAGAGAAAACAACCATCCACTGATTTTTTTTCAAATCAGAGTTGGGGGCTGTACTGCGCTTGCTGAGTACAGCCCAAATCCACTGAGAGACTTTTGGGGATGGGGAGGAGTATGGGGGGTTAAGGTTGGTGTATAGGGGGGGTATAGGGGGGAATAGGGGGTATAGGGGTGATATAGGGGTTATTGGGGGGGGGGTAATGAGGGTGTTGGGGGCGGTTTGGGGGTGTTGGGGGGGTGTATGGGGGTATTGGGGGCCACTATGGGGGTGTTGGTGGTGTTATTAGGGGATCGGGACCCCCCCTTTTTTTCTTTTTTTTTTCTTTTTTTTCGGGGTGCTGACAATCCCCGGTAGGTGCCGACCAGGCGATCGGTCGGCAGGTCAGCAGCCGGCCAATCAAGGGCCGCCGATCGTCGGGGGGTGCAACCCTGTGGGTGGCGGAAAATTCGCAGTGTGGGTTCCCTGACTGCTGAGGCAAAAGGGGACCTGAGAACCTATTGATGGACTACTAGATGTTTATTGTGCAGTGCCCTTCCTTGACCCCGAGTTCGGGAGAGGCGGTCATCCACGACCTGGAGACTTGCGTGGGCTTCAACATACGGTTGTACACCCTGGGCTACCCCTAAAAGCTGTAGGAGATCAGCTGGCAAGTGGATGAGTGGATTTGTTTAATGAGTCTCTCGGGTCAGCAAATGAAATGCAGCAAGCGTGTGTGCAAACTCCGGTGTTGCAGTCGGATGCCTTTCGGACCTCCCTTGGCCGCAGGCGATCAAACTCCTTGGGCAACAGGCATGCGAGGATGTTGCCAGAGAGACTATCAGAGCTACTCTACAACAACTTGAACATCCACCTTCTTTTGAGGCACGTGCATGGCAACCAGGAGGATTCGCACATACCCTTGGAGGCGCACATCTCGGACAAGAAGAGGAGGGAGGCAGGAGAAAGGTGTTAGTTACAGCACGTGGGCAGAGAGAGTGAGAGTGAGCACAATGGAAAAGGGGGATGACTAATGGTAATTCTAGGGAGACGAACTCGCAGAAGCATTCCTGACTAGATGATTGAACAGTGATGCACCCAAGGACGTGAGCCACGGAGGAAGACATTGCTCACCTCAATGATGATGACCGGCAGTGGCATCACTGCACACTCCCTGGGAAACATAGACAGAGACTTCTGCACAAGAAGTTAAGAACTCTGTTGTCCAAATGGGAGCTGCAGTGGTGTATGCTTTGGAAGGGTGGGAACATGTCTTGAGGCGCGAGGGAAGGGTGACTGGGTACAAGGCAGGAGCACGGCAAGCACTGATACCCCACAGACGAGGGAAGGAGGACGTCCCACAAAACCTAGTCTGCAGCAACAAAAGCAAAGAGCGCAGCAGCAAAGCTGCAAAAGCATCACCCGAAGTAGCAGCAAAAGCCAAGGAAGCAAAATCTGCAGCAGCAAAAGGCACTGTCTGTGCGCTGACATGGGGACCAAAAGGAGTGGTGGAGGCAGGAAGATTTGGTATTGGAGGGATGGCATAGGTGAGTTGGGGGGAACCTTCATCGACAATGACGAAGGAGCTGCTGCTCCTGGGGCACATCATCATCATCACCATCATTACCATCATCATCATCATTAATCTTGTGACAGCAGCTAAAGTGATGAAGGTGATGGCGAGGAGAAGGCTCAAGAGCCGCCTGTTGAGTGGGGAGGCGGAGGACGAGGGAGAGCGGCGTGAGGAGGATGTCTCACAGGAGGATGCTGACAAAGATGCTGAGCACAAGTAGGATGATGCAGAGGGAGGTACATGGTTGTGCCAACTTTGCAAATGCGATTATGTGTGGTAAATAACTCAGAATGAAGTTCAATCAACTCAAGTGTTTTCATTTGCCTAGGCAAGCATCTAAAAAAACTAGCTCCACGAAAACCATGCACCCTCCATATTACACAACATGCTATACTTCTGTGGCTTTGCCAACTCACACACCCTGTGAGATGTCTGCACGTACGGCGACTTCCGTGAAAGTGCCACCTGAAATCACATTGACACACACACAGGGACACAAGAAGACAATCACAAACACAGTCAACTGCTGAACAACATCAAAATGATAGGGATAGTGAAAACAAGCGAATGTGAAAACAAACAAACGTGAAAACAAGCAAATAAACAGAGTTGCACTAACTTGAATGTGCTAACAGTCTGACCTGAAGCATATATGTCAACAGCTTGTCTTCAGTTAGGGAATTTCAAAAAAGCTATCGTCTTTTCAGCTGCCGTCGTCACCCGAATATTGCAGACGTATTTGGTGCAACTTTCAGTCTACAATGCTCAACATACAGCGATAATAACCGGGCGGCGGGCGTTCTATTCGGGTGAAGATGAAAATATAGAAAGACGAAGCAGCCCCTTTACCTCTGTCTGTCTCACAATCCTTGTTGCACCCAGCCCCTTTACCGCTCGTAAGACCAAGTGCTACACAGACTTCAAAGAGCGAAACTACCGTCTTCACCCGAATAGAACACCCGGTAATTATCGCCGTATCTGGGCTGAAAGTTGTGCCAAATACAGCTATAATGACCGGGTTCTATTCGGGTGAAGACGGTAGTTCATTCAACAACTTAAACTTACGAGATCAATGTACCTCTCCTGACTATTTTCATCCGTTTGTTCAGAAAGCCGGTGCATATTACTGTTTGCCTAAACCACTCTCTGTATTTCAAGGAGGGGCACAAGAACCAGCACCAACTGTCCAACATTCTGACTGGCCACCAGCACCGACGAAGATGAAGACAGGTTACGCCTGGGCTGGATGGGCTCAGATAGGCCCTTGTGCTACATGCCGCCAGAACCAGCATCAAGGTGGAATATTCCAGAGACCAACATCCTATTTAGCCACGAGGACTATCATGAAGACAGGCTACTCCTGCAGATTGCTGGATGGGTGATAGGAGGCAGAACTGGGTCTAACTATTAGAGAGCTGCTACAAAAAACCTGATTCAACCCCAGTTAGGCCCTTCTGCTGTATCCCACAAGAACCAGCTTCAAGGTGGAATATTCCACCGACGCAATATTCTGTCTAGCCACCAAGACCATCATAAAGACAGGCTACTCCTCCAGATGGTTGGATGGGTGATAAGCAGCAGAACTGCGTCCAACTCCACAAGAACAGCTAGGAAAAACCTGCGTCAACCTCAGTTAAGCCCTTCTGCTACATCCCTGCTTGCCCTCCCACAACTCATCAAGCACACAGAGAAAGAGAGAGACTTGTGGGAGGGCAAGGAAACCTGGGTCAACATCAGGTTAGCTGAATTAATCTCCGGCTAGGCCCTTTTGCTGGGGACTGTGTTCTATGAAGATTGTGGTTGTACCTGCCAGGTGGATGAATCCCGTCAATCCTAAACCCTAAACTCAAATCCAAACCCCATGCCAGGTGGCTTTACCGACACACAGTACTACATACATAACTTCAAGTGAGCAGACAAAGCATTCCCCATCCTGCTGCACGTCATAACGAATGGGGCCTACCCATTTCAAGATTCAACCCGGGCGTCTGGGCAGCCATCCCTACCGTCTGGAGGTGTGGGTCCTGATGTCAGGTTCCGGGTACTGCCCGAATAAAACGGGGGGAGGAATATTATGATTTTTTATTTTTTTTATTTTTTTTTAACAGAACCTTTTGGTTCTGGCTCCTACCATTCTGGGGAGCGACAGTCCGGTTCCTATTCCCCCGGCAAGTCAATATGGGAAAACATGGGTGACTCGCGCACGCTCCTCCCCATTATGGCTGGGAGGTCCGAGTGGACGGCATTGATTACGTCTCTGAGGAAGGATGTACCACCCCTCACCCCTGCCTAGTTTAGCCTATGCTATTTGCTCTGTCTGGCTGCTGCCAACCTGCCTGAACCCAGTCCCGCTCCTCTCAGCTGTGGTGCTGCCGGGTTGTTGTGTCATGCTAGAGCAGTCTGGAGAGTCCATGAACCTCTTGAATTCTCTAACATCCTAGGCCCTATGTGCTTTGTTCTTGTCTAGCCTGAAACCTAAACCCTCAATCTAAAACCCTGAACCCTTGCTGGCTGTAGTGTGTTTTTATGGTCTGTCCCTGTCCGACTTTTTGTGTTGACTCTGTTGAATATGCCTATGGTTTCTTGGCGGGGTGGTTTGGGTGGGGGGGGCAGTGACTGAGGGAGTTTGTGCAGTGGTGAAGGTTCTGGATTCTGGGTCGATGTGCTTGGGGTTGTGGGCTTGGGGCGGGAGAGGGAGTATAAAATTGGTAAGGGAGGGGCTGTGTTACTATTGGGTGGAACGGGTTTTGTTGGAGTTGGGAATTTCTGAGGCTTGTGGGGGCTCAATGTGTGGGTTGTCCGGTGGCGTCTTGACTTGTTGTGGTTGGTATGCGTGTGGGTGGGTTGGCTTGGGGGCCGTAGTGAGGTGTCTGCTGGGCGTTGTTGATATGGTTGAGCCTTGAGTCCCATAGCCTCCCCTTCTCTTCCTTATGTCACTAATTCTTTACTTCCTCTTACCCTCCCCTATTCTATGGTTGTGCTTGTTCCTCTTTCCTTTCTTATCAGTCTAAGTCCATTGCGCTTGTGCTATTCTGACTTGTTCTTGGGCTGCCCGGATCCCACCAGCTCGTGAATTGAAGGGTTTTTCCGTTTATTGTTGCCAATAGCCCCTCCTTCAGCCACTGCTGTTCAAATTCTTTCTGTATTTTAGTCCTCTTCTGGTCCTCTATTTCTTTGTCCATTCTCCTAAGGGTTCGCTTCCATTCCACTCTAACCCCTGTTTCTACCATTTCCCTTGCCTCTTCCCATGATTCATTTGCCGTTATCTTCTTTTTTCCTATTGAGGAATATTGTGATATTAATTTCGGAAAATTCAAACTTTTCAAGAAAAATCGGCAAAAATCTGACAAGAAAGATATGTTATGCACCATTGTGAGATAAATAACTTTTGGCTGAGGAGCATCTTCACAATTCAAATTCATAGCCAATCCGAGAAGAAAAATATATTGGGGGGGAGTGGGCACCCCTTATCCGGATCAATCTAGATTCTAGACGTCCGGGTGCTATCCAGACATCTCCTCCCATACCGTAAGAGATGAATGGAGCACAGTTCGTGCCATGACCTCCGTCTGCACCCACCCTTGCAAGATCCCCTACTTGGAGAGGCCATATGGAGAATGTATCGCCCAGCATACTTCTTCGCTTTTTTGCATTCACATTTAGTGAGAGGTTAGGCGGCACTAATCAGAATCATTTTTTTTCTCTCAAAAATATTTCTTTTTTTAATTTTTTTTCATAGTTGCGGTGCACCTCAGTGCGGTGATTTGCGCACGCATTGCGCACCGCACAGCACAGAGCACCGAAGCGCACCACATTGGAAAATTTACGTAAACTTTTTATTTTAAATTTGGTACAGAATTTCGATGTGACCCCAAGGCAAAAGTTGTTCAGTTTATTTTTCTGCATAACATAGATTTCTTTCGGATTTCTTGGATTTTTTTTTTTTTTTTTTTTGGCAGGGACCTACCCTGGTCCTTGCCCGGAAGGGCCGCCCGGGAAAATAGGGCGACCCGGGCGGCCCAGCCGATGGCCTAGATCGGTTTTGTAATTTCTTAGGGCCCCCAACTCGGCAAAAATGTTAAACTCACCGCGCAAGCTCGGAAACCGGCCGCGCCCCCGGCCCAAATTTTATTTTTGGGCAAGGGCTGCCGAATTTCGATTTCCGCAGGCCTTTCCCCCAAAAGTTTCAAAATGGCGAAGCATGAAATAGGGCTCATTCCAACTTTTTCTTTTAGGCGGGGTATGGAAACTGGCCTTCCCCCTCCCTTCTGCAAATCCCACACGGTGGTGGGGAAAGTTCGCAAGACGAGGGTAGTCGCACAATAGCGACCTGCCCCGCGAAGCTTCGCAGAAGTCACAAGTCGTGTTTTCCATGGCCAGCCGACCACCAATATATGCTGAAGATTGGCGTTCAGATCTGCATGTCGGCAGTTATGGGTTGGGATCATACATGCAGCGCAGCGACATGCGCTGCAACGCGCACAACGCGCACGCATCGAATGCGGCGCATTACAAAATCGGGGGGTCTCCCAAAAAGAATGAAAGTTGGTTGGGGGGGGGGGGGGCTTGCAAGGCCGGTAGGCACTTCGCGCCGCCGGTCAGCCAAAAAAAAAAATTTTTTTTGAGGCCAAGCGGGCCTGCACAAAAACCGAAGGGCGGGGAGATCCGAGTAGTTCGTTTTTGAACTACGCGGCCCTGCCCCACGCCGGCCCCACCGCGGCAGCCGACCTCAGCCCTGCCCCGCACCGTGTGCCCCCTCGCCGCTGTCGTCGTCGTCTGCTCGTGTGTGCAAGGAAAATGAGCGATGGCGAATTCCAGAAACCAAGCAGCATCATACACATGAGACCAGATAGTCGTGACCTCGGACCAAAAGCAGAATTGCAACTTGAGTCCCACCAAATAAGAGCACAGCAAAAGCAGTCTCGCTACCTGACTTCACTGCATCAGCAGACTATGAGAGAGCGGGCTTGGTGACATTTGGATCCAGACTCGACAYTGGGCTTCAGACATTTTGACGAGGGATTATTTGGGACTTGTAACAAAGACTTGGTGTTGACGACATTCCCATCTCTCCCCCTCTTCTTTGTCTGTTCCCCTCCTCTTCGTCTGTGCATGATTTGGCCCTGGCGCATTCTACCTGTGTGAAGCGCCAGGCCCCTTCACACCTTGTGATGAGGATGATGTATGTTTGGTCTGCGTTGCAACATTGATTGGGCTAGTCATTGGTATTCTAGCATTCTGTTGTGCTGTCTTGCACTACGTGATATGGAGTATTTTGCAGTACTGCTGCAATGCAGCAGAGAAAAAAAAAAAAAAAAAAAAAAGTTCCCGCATGCCCGAGCGCACCATGTGCACGAATGTGCGTGGCACGTGCACGCCCCGGCGCACCGGCGCACTGCGCAGTGAAGTGTCGCGCATCGCGCACTGCGCTTCAATGCGCGCACCACCGAGGGGCGCACTGCACG